CCCACGAAAGTGGCGACAGTTGCACGCTTCGCAGCCACCCAGGGAGCCGCGAGGTCTCAATTGAGTCCCCGTGTAATCTCACTTCGCTGGACCTCCCAGTGGCCTACGAAAGTGGCGACACCTGCACGCTTCGCAGCCATCCAGGGAGCTGCGAGGTCTGAATTGGGTCTCCGTGTAGCTACACTCCGAGCGATCTCCCAGTAGCCCACGAACGCGTCGAAGGTTTCACGCTTCGCAGTCCCCCAGGGGGCCGCGAGGTCCCGGCTGCTGTGTGTACGGAGACAAAGCGTGCGTGCGAGGGACCTTCGTCCGATGCTCCTGTGCAGTGCCATTTCGGCTTCGGAGCTAGTGGAGGGCGAAAGCTTCCTGCGCTTGGCACACACAAATCGCTTCAGCATGTGTGTAGGCTTGATTATCCTCCCAGAGATCCGACGATGCAAAACAGTTGTAACATCGTAAAACATCTCACGATCGGAGCCCCAGACCCCATCTTTCCGCGCCCTTTGTGGAGCCAGATCGCTCTCTGAGGGTCCCATGGGGCCCCAAGCCGGGCGAAGCCGCCCGTGGTGAACAAAAACTTGCAGCGCCAGTGTCTCAGGGCTTGCGATCGAGGGTCCCCGCCGCCCCCGACGGCCCCTCCCAGACTCCCGACGTCGCGATTCTTGCGCACCGTGGACCCTTCCTCAGGAACGGCTCTTCGCCCCGAGTTGCTTCTCGACGACGGCCCCGGGGCCCGGGAAGGGCTCCTGGAGGCCGAGAGTAGCGAAGCACCTCCCATCGTGATTTTTTCTCGGCGCGAGGGGGTCTGGGGTGGCGAAGCGGGGGGAGGAGGAGGGGGAGGAGGAGGAGGAGGAGGAGGAGGAGGAGGAGGAGGAGGAGGAGGAGGAGGAGGAGGAGGGGGGGAGGATCAGGAGGAGGAGGAAGAGGATCAGGAGGATCAAGAGGAGGAGGAGGAGGAGGAGGAGGAAGAGGAGGAGGAGGGGTCTGGGCTCCCTCCGCAGACTGGCCCAGGCCGCCCTCGGCGGGGCCCCGCGGCCCGCCAAGACAGGCCGCGGCGCGCCAGAGGAGCCGCGGCCGCCGAGCGGGCGCCGCAGGACGGGCGCGCCACGGCGCCGCGGCGCGGCGGCGTCCGCGGGCGCCGGGCCGCGCCCGGCAGCGATGAGCGGTGCCGGGGCCTGGCCGTCGTCGCCTTCCAGCGGGAGGCCCTCAGGCCCAGACCTCCTCGCGCCGTGAGAGAGTCGCGACGGGAGGCATTTCGCTAGTTTCGGCCTTTGGGGTCCCTTCCGGGCCCTCGGGAGCTTCAGAAACTTAGTCAGGATGAAAAACTGGTCCCCGGGAAGGGGTCCAGACCTCTGGGGGTCGACGTCGTGACAGAAATCACGACGTCGGGGGTCTGGGGAGGAGGACAACCGAAGCCGCTACCCCTTCCTCGCTTTCGCGTTGAGATGGGCCTCCAGGGAGGCCCTTGTCGCCACCGCTGGATTCGCTTTCAGATCCTGGTCAGGACGCGCCCCGGGAGAGAGGTCCCGGGAGCAGCGGTGTCGGCACCTTTTGGTTCCCCCAGGCCCGCAGAGGAGCTCGGGGTCGACGACAGCGGGGGCGGGATCGGCCCCCAGAGGGAGGGTCGGCTGCGCGTAAGAGTAATTAGCCCTGCGCCGAAGTGGCCTTTGGTGCGGGCCCAGAGGCGTCCCCCCCCAGCACTGGCTGGCGCGCCTGGGCTTGACCTCCCCGCGGCACCGCGAAGCCGCGCACCCGAGGTCTCGCTCTTGCCTGGAGGGTCGCTCTTGCATGTAGCCGAGGGGGGAGGCATCGACGCCCGAGCGCCAATTCCTCGGCGACAGGGGGCCTGTGCGCCCCAGCCTCTTCAAGAGCATGCGGTGCTGCTGCCGCGGGCGCATCGCTGATCTGTCGACGACGAGGTATCGCCGATGCCAGGGCAGTGCTTTCCCTCTGGGCCGTCTCCCCGCCCCTCCTCCCGGGCCTACACGGGACGTCCTGATCTTGCAAACGCGGGGCCCCCAGAATCACCGAGCGCGTTCCACTACTCGCAGAGTGCCGACTCGCAAGAGTCAAACAAAATATATGTCTCCGTCTTTGTCATGGATCGTATATCCCCCGTGACGGATCCGAGCCATTGGCGAGGTGGTAGTTTGCGAGTAGTGGCACGTGATTGTCCACAGAAGTCCCGACCCTTCCCCCCCTGCCGCATTTTCACCGCGGGCCGGTCTCTGACGGTCCTGGGGCCCGGCGAGGGCCCCTGAGCCAGCACCTCCCTGTCTCGGCGCCTGGGAAGGGGGGGGGTCCGCGGCGGGGGCTCCTATACGTAACCACCGCCTGGAGGATCGATATCTTGGGAGACCTCGGCAGGCGGTGGGCATGGACATCTTCGTGCCCACTGGGGCCCAACTCTATCCGTATCCAGCGCCCGCTGGGGTCCCAGTCGGACGGTTCCACAGTCGGTGGCCATGGAGGAGGAGGAGGAGGAGGAGGAGGAGGAGGAGGAGGAGGAGGAGGAGGATGTAAGTATTTCCCCACCTCGCAGGGAAGGCAGGCAGAGGGAGCGGTCCGCCTGGATCTCAGAAGTCTCGGGAGGCATGGGTCGTGCAGCTGTGGCTCCCTCGGCCACTCACGGCCTGCGGTAGTCTCAGCGTGTTGCGAGGGGGGCGTCCCCGGGGTTGGAAGCGACAGCACTTTTGCGAAGCAGTGGCGAAGGCGTCCGGGCTTGCCTATACAGGCCCACCAGAGAATGCTCTGAGATCCTCGTGTGGTTTGCACGACATGTTCTTAGAAAATTATTGGCCGACTAATGCGTCGGGTTCTGAAGCGTGTGTGTGAATGGCCTGGATGGTTTGGGGCTACTCCGCTTGGCCTTAACCTTTCTCATTGAAGTGCGATGCCCGGTGTTCCAGGGAACATCGGCACCGCCTGCACCCCGCACCCTCCGGCCGCCTGAGGCCCCGCCAGCCCGCGCCCTGTCTCCCCAATTAGTGCTTTGCGCGCCCCGCCTAGCTCTTAACCGGAAGAGGCCCGCTCTCGACCCGCAGACCAAAAAAGTGTTCCAGGGAACATCCAGGAGCCATGTTGACCCGGGGAGCCTCTCCCATGGTGGTTCGGGGTCTCCTGAGGGGCCCGGGCCGGCGGGCCCCGTGGCGGCCGAGTCATGTTCCCGGAAGCTTCTCTCGGAACCTGATTTTCCCGATAGGCTTTTCTCGGGAAGCGAAAATTTTCGGGGAAGTCCGGAGCGTCCGGAGTCATGCTCCCGGAAGCTTTTCCGGGAACCTGATCTTCGGGGTCGCCGGCGGGGGCGTCTGGGGACGTGCCGCCCCGCGGCGGAAGCCTGGCTCTCTGTGTAGCCGCACTGGCGCGGAGAAGCAGGCCCCTGGCCGGCCCCCCTTTGCTTGCTGCCTTCCTCTTGCCCAACTCGTGTGAGGGGGGGGCCGCCGAATGTGTCGGGCCAGCATATTCGGTGGGCGAGTGGGCACCGGGGCAACGTGGCAACCCCGCGTGCTGGGCCCATAAATACCCCGGGGGCCTCCACCAGACCAATGTACATTGTACAGCGGTCACTTGTGGAACACAATATTTATTAGCGAGCGAGGAGAACAGCAGCGCGCAGCCCATCGCCTTCTCTCTGCTAAGAGAATTCAGCCGCCGCAGTTTCCGTCAGGGCTATCGATGTTCTATGGACATAGTTCTTGTAATTCGAATGTTCGTTTGTTATGAGAATATATCGTGGTAGGCCTATAGGAATGCCAGGACGGCTGGTCCCTGCGCAACTTAGATACCACAGGACCGCGAGGACCTCCTAGTACAGAGGTCGGGATGCCATCTTGAAGTCTCTATTAGTTGTGCTGGCGCCGTCTGGAGGTCAGCAACAACTCAGAAGGCCTCCGTCCCCCTCAGAAGCTTTCCAAGCCCTTTCCGAAGCCGCAGAGGACTAGCTTCTCAGAGGGCCAGACGGCTTCCGAGAAGCCCCGCCGCCTTCTGCAAAGGCCTCCCCCTGCCGCTTCCCAGACATCCCCCGGCCTGTTTTCTTTCCACTCCCCTGCCCAAGAGCTCCCGACGCCTTCCGGGGAGGCAGCCCTGCGCCCCGGACCCAGTCTCCAACAGCGGTCCCGAGCCGAGAGCGGGCCCCTGTCGAGGCCGAGCCCAGGAGTCGACCCGACCGGTGCTGGGGCGATTCTTGCGGGCCGTCTGCGTTCCGATGTCGCCCTGCGCAGGCGGACGGAAGGCAGAGCGAACACCTCGTGCAGACCTGGTCCTTCTCCTATTCCCTGCTCTCTCCTCGCTCGCCCTCCTCCTGGGGGGAACTGGCGTGAGGCCGGGGCCAGGGTTCCCACAGAGGCCGCCCGCAGGCCTTCAGCCGGTCGACAATGAAGATGCAGCCGTCCGAGTCGACGCGTACACGGCTGCGCGAACACGAAAAACACGGTTCATTAATGAGGGTAATAGAACCCCCTGACCCGAATACCAGAGTGAAGACGTGGCCTCACGGAGGGGCCCGTCCTTACATGTAGGGAAAATGAATTTGGGCGGTGTGGCCTGGTGCATCCGCAGAAAAGACCCTGTATCCCTAATGTCTCTGGCCCTCCTAACTTTGGTCCCCCCCCAAGAGGTTAGGCGTCTTGTTTTTGCTTAATCAGTTTAGGTCGATCCCTGGCCGAACCCGAGGCAGAACGCCAGGGCCGAAACAGACGCCCTCGTCGGAGATCTGGGCCGGCACGCCGCCGAGTGCCGTTCCCCTCTCTCAGGAGCACCTCCAGTGGGTGGCCCTGCCGCCGCCGCCGCCGCCGCCGCTGCCGCCGTCGTCGTCGTCGTTGTCGTCGTCGTCGTCGTCGTCGCCGTCGTCGTCGTCGTCGTCGTCGTCGTCGCCGTCGTCGCCGTTGTGGCCGTCGCCGTCGTCGCCGTCGCCGTCGTCGTCGTCGCCGTCACCGTCGCCGTCGTCGTCGTCGTCGTCGTCGTCGTCGTCGCCGTCGTCGTCGCCGTCGTGGGGCGCCGAGAGGAACGCCCGCGCTCGCCGGGCAGCGGCGAGGGCGCGGCGCAGGCGGGCTCACCGCTGCGCGAGCAGCACCGGGGCCCGGGGGAGGGCGGCGCGCAGACGGAGGCCGCGGGATCGGACGCGATGCGCCTGGAGCTCGTCGTCGTCGTCGACGTCGCCGCCGCCGCCGCCGCCGTCGTCGTCGTCGTCGTCGCCGTCGTCGTCGTCGTCATCGTCGTTTTCTCCTCAACCCCTGCCTCCTCCTGCGTCTCCGCCTGCGTCTCCTTCTCCTGGGGGCACGGCTTTCAGCGATTGGATGGTGATGGACACGAGAATTGGAGCAGCGTTGGGGCATTGAACTAATGGCCTTCGGCTTATCCCGCTACTGCGCCTGTGTTGTAGGCCACAGGCTTGTAGGACGTTCGCCACTACTGCGCCTGTGTTGTAGGCCACAGGCTTGTAGGACGTTCGTTGGAGTTTTGCGGGGAGCCTCTCGGGGGCCTCGTGGAGGCAGTCTTGGGGCCTCTTGGGGGCCGTTTTGGGGCCTCGTGGGTTGTCTTAGGAGCCTCTTGGGGACCTCTTGGAGCCTCTTGGGGCCTCCCGGGGCCATCTTGGGACGGAAAGCTCGCATTGTCGGTTCGGGCTCCCACTTTTGGGTCCATCTTGGGGCTGTCTTGGGGCTCTCTTGGGGCCGTCTTGGACGCCTCTTGGGTCGTCTTGGGGCCGTCGTGGGGCCCTCTTGGGGGCCTCTTGGGCAGTCTTGTAGCGATCTTGGGCGCTGGGCCGTTTGGAGCGTCAGAAGAGTCGAGACCCCCCAAACATTTAGAACCGAAGGGTCCCCAATGATCTTGGCTTCTCGGGGCCCTCTGGGGAAGGCTCTTGGAGCTCTCTTCGGGCGTCTCGAAGGATTCTTAGGCCGTCTTGGAGCCATCTTGGGCGTCTTGCACCGGTCGTGTAGAGATTCGGAGTACCCTTAGACCTTCCGGGCGGGCTATTGGAGGTCTTTGGGCCCGTCTTGGGCCCCTCTTGGCCCCGAAGAATCTCGGCGCCACCATTCGCATGCGCCCGGGGGAACTGCGCCAAGCCCCAAACGATTTGAGTGTTTGGGGCCCAGGCCCCTTATTAGAAACTTGTCATGTGTGAGGAATGAGGACGCTCAGGCTCGTGCCCGAGGGCACGGCGGCGAATCTGTTCGCCAGCGTGGGCCCCAAACATTAGGCTCTTGCAACCTATGCGGTGCAATCTATGTGGTGCAATCCACTCTGCTGAACTTGAAGTTGTCCACTCCACTGCTCGCGCAAGCATCCCACCCACCCACCCGCAACTTGGTTTGCAAAATCTCTTAAGACCGTGACGGTGGGTACCACATGGCACTTGGAAACGACAGCGACGCCGACGACGACAGCGACAACGACGACGATGCCGCCGACAACGACTACGACGACACCGACGACGTCTCCAACGACTTCGACGACGCCGAGAACGACGACGACGACGACGACACCGACGACGACGACGACGCCAACGCCGACGACGACGACGACGACGATGACAACGACGACGACGACGACGATGACGACGCCGACGACAACGACGACACCGACGACGACGCGACGTCAACTACGCCGACGACGACGATGACGACGACGACGACGACGACGGTGGCGACGACGACGACGCCGACGTCGACGATGACGAAGATGACGACGACAACGACGCCGACGACGACGACGAAGACGACGACGACGTCGCCAACGAAGACGACGACGAGGGAGGAGGGAGGACGACGACGGCGACAACGACGACAACAACGACAACGTCGAGGCAGGAGGGAGGACGGCGATGACTCGAACGACGAAGAAGGAGGAAGGACGGCGACGCCGACGACTGCAACGACGAGGGAGGAGGGTAGACGACGACGACGACAACGACGACGACGATTCCGAAATAGGAGGGACGACGACGAGACGCCGACGACGGACGACGATGACGACGAGGGAGGAGGAGGAAGGACGACCACGGCGACAACGACGACGGAAACGACCACGACGCCAAAGAGGACGACGACGACGAACACGAGGAAAGACAGAGGACGATGTAGGCGACGACGGCGACGACGACGCAAGAGCGCGCGCGCACGCTTTTGTTGAAAATCCGTGTTGCGAAACCTTGTGTTTTTGTAGGCTGTTCGGACACACGGTGTTGAACTCCTTCCGAAGCCGATAGGTTTTGAAGGGTTTCGGCATACGCGCGCGACGATGCGCGCGTCTGCACTTTCTTCCTTTTTTTGCAGAGGATTCTCGCGACGGCACACGCGCAAGGGCGTTCGACAGATTTCGACATGCGCGCGCGCAAAGCCCGTTTGGTAACATTTTGGGAAAATCTGGAAAAAAAACGCATGGCCTTTTTTTTCTCAAGATTTTCGCAATAGCTCGCGCGAAAGCTTTGTTAGCAAATCAGTGTTGCGAAACCGTGTGTTTTTTATATGTTTTTTGGAATCTCGATTGCGACATCCTCCCGGCACCGAAGGTTTTCAAAGGATTTCGGCATGCGCGCGCGACGACGCGCGCGTGTGCACTTCGCCCCGTTTTTTTGCAAGGGGTTCGCGAAAAACAGTGTTGTGTTAGAACAAGAGGTGTCCCCGCGTATCCTTTTTTACAAGGGCACCTCATAGGGGACCGACCCCAGCCCCTCTAGGATAGTGCAAATTCATATTAACGATGGACATGTGGTCATAATCACATATGGTTTGCATACCCGAGAGGGGGGCGGGTAACGCTGGGGGGGGGGTAGAGTCTATTTTTTTTTGAAAGGAGAACGTATGCGATGAAGCTTACGTAATTCAATATATGCGGTGCAGTCTATGTGGTGCCAGTTATGCCATGCAGCCCATATAATACAATATATGCGGTGCAACCTATGGGGCGCACTGTAACTCGTAGAGCTTCCCTTAGCTAGTTGCTGAAAGCTTACGAGTAATTCCGGGGCGCTGGAGAGCTAGTTGGCAAGAAAAATCTCGACGGACCTTTTGGTGACTTTTGCTCGGTTGAAAATTATGTTCTCGAAATTCAACCATTCGTTGGAGCTCTAGTATTTTTTTCCAGAGATATTCGATCTTATTCCCGCTCGCCGTCTCAATCTCAGCTCGATCGGGTACCTACTACTGCCAAAAAGCGTCCGGGCGGGATCGGCCGTTTCGAGTCATCTTGACACGCGTTGACGGTTTTCTGTACTTAACTCGAGATATAAGGAGAGCTACGGAGCTGGTACGCACAGAAACCGATTCCGAATCATCAGGCGCGTTCATCTGAAGCATTTAGACGTCTGAACTCATTCTGCTACTCGAGCTAGGTTCGCGAAACTATTCGTATTCTCGAGATTTTCTTGACATATGCTGTCGATTTTCGGTACTTAACTCGAGCTGTAGGAGGGCTACAGACCTGGTGCGCCCACGTAATCGATTCAGAATCATCAGACGCGTTCGTCTACAGCATCTAGAGGTCTGCACTCGGTCCATTACTCGAGCTAGGTCCGCGAAGTTATTCGTATTGTACGAAATTTGTTGACAGGTGCTCTCGGTTTTCTGTACTTAATTCGAACTGTAGGAAAGCTACATAGCTTGTACACCCACGTAATAGATTCAGAATCATCATGTGCGTTCGTCTGAAGCATCTAGAGGTCTGAACTCGGTCTACTACTCGAGCTAGGTCCGTAAAACTATTCGTAGTGTACAAATTTTCTTGACAGTTGTTGTCGGTTTTTCTGTACTTAATTCGAGCTGTCGGAGAGCTACAGAGCCGATACGCACACGTACTCGATTCAGAATCATCAGGCGCGTTCGTCTGAAGCATCTAGAGGTCCGAACTCGGTCTGCTACTCGAGATAGATCTGAAAAACTAATCGATTTCTACCGATTTGTTCGAGATGAGGTGAGTTTTCTGACTCAAGTCGAGCTGCATCTAAGCTTCAGAGCTATTTGGCACAGAAATCCGGAGGAAATTATCAGATGCACTAGTCGGAAGTATCTAGACGCTTGGATTTGGTCTGTTCTCAGCACAGAAGCCGAACGACTACTCAGATTCTGCTTTTTCCTGGTGATGGAATGGTTTTTCGGACTAAACTCGAGCTGCAGATGAGCTCCCGAGCTCTTAGGCACAGCAATCAGAAGACAATCGTGAGGCGCGCTATTTGATAGTATCTAGACCCTTCAAATCAGTTTTCTATCAGCGCCCAGGCAGAACAACTATTCGTACTCTGCTAATTTCTTGGAGACGGTATTGGTTTTCTTGGTCAACTCGCGCTGCAGATAAGCTACAGGGCAGTCCTGCACAACTTCGGAAGGGAATCATCAGAGGCGCTAGTTGAATGTATCTAGACGGCTGCAATCAGTCTGCTATTAGCGCTCGGGCTGAACAACTTTTCGTACTCTGCTTATTCTTTAGAGATGGTATATGGCAAGGAAGCTACGAGTCCCCCGGCGGTAACCAAGGTTGACGGTTTACCGCCGGCGCCCAGTATGCGATGCAACCTGCGTGGTGCAGTCTACGCGGTGCAATTAACTACCCTGCACCGCGCTTGACCACCTCCACTGCTCGCGCAAACATCCCGCCCTCCCACCCGCAACTTGTTTGGCAAAAGTTCTGGTGCGGGCGACGGCGGCGCCACCGATGACGACGTCGGCGATAGCATCCTCACTGCCGATGCTCGTCACCGCGAATCGATGCTGAAGGTGAGCATATCGACGATACTCGGACGTGCGCGATGACAAGATGACGTCGGTAACGTCGCGGCAATGACGAAGATGGCACCAGAGAGACGATGTTCAAGAGGGCGGCTGCACGAACGATAAACGGCGCCAGTGATGGCAAATACGTGACGATGCGGATGTCTGTCTTCCGATGGGGCAGGTGATCGCGGTGATGCTGACAAGGTTGAAGAGGAAATCTGCGCGCGTGGAAGTTCAACAAATCTGTCAGACTGATCATGCACGCGCGGCGGTGCGCGCATGTGACCCGCATGATTTTTGGTTTTTTTTGTTTGCAAGGGATCCACGCCCTCGGCGCGTGACAGGAGCATCGCAGGTGCGCCGCGCGGTGACGCGAAATCGCTGGATTCGGCAGAATTCGTAAGAATGCCATGGTTGAAATATGATTGTTGCACGTGCGCGCGGACAGGAAACTTGCAACACTTGCGTTGCTAAACCTTTTTGGTTCGCTTTTCCTTCAGAAGGAAGGTTCGTTATGCTGAAACGCTTGCAAACACATGGTGTCTGGTGCGATTTTGGCATGGACGCGCGCGCGCGTGGACTTCGTCCCGTTTTGTGCCAGGGGGTCCCGGACACTTTTCATTGAGAAACGGGTGCGCGCGCGTAGTGTGCGTAGTGTTTTTTGCAGAGAACGGCGGGGGGGGGGGGGGTGATACCGGTTTGGCTGGGATAATATGAATTCATATCTAGGGTGGACGATGGGTCAGAATCATTTGTAATTTGGGGGCCCGTCAGCAATCTATATGTGGTGCAACGTACTTATGCGATGCAGCCTATATAAGGCAATCTATGCGGTGCGCTCTACGCGGTGCAATGTATGCGACGCCACCTACGTAATGCAATTTATGCGGTGCAATGTATGCGATGCGGCGGCCGCGACGGGCGGCACGGGCGGCGACGGGCGGGGGTGGCGGCGACGGGCGGCGACGGCGACGGGCGGCGACGGGCGGCGACGGGCGGCACGGCGGCGATTTTGCGGCGAGGGTCCGAGATGGTAAACCGAAGTAAGAGCCCTTAGTGCTGCAAGCATTGCTTGGGGAATATGACATGCAAAACCAATCGGTCCGTCTCCTCCTCCTCCTCCTCCTCCTCCTTCTCCTCCTCCTCCTCCTCCGCCTTTTCCTCCTCCTCCTTCCCCCGAACCTCATGAATCCCAACGAACATTTTTGGGAAAACTGGTGGCTGAAGCGCGGTGACAGTGCAAGCGTGGGAAAAGTCAAGGCCCATTCTTCGGCATCACAAATGCCTCTTTCTTCGATGCGTGGTGCAGGCTTGGCAACCGTCTCGCGGACCGATGGGCCAAAAAAGGGCCCTGCTCTCGAAGGTTCCCCCCTAAAAAGGTCCTCTTCTTGGAAGTCTGTGAAGATATTGCTGTCAAGCTGGTTCGGTGGATAGGACATGTGCACGCGTGGCTAGGAGACCACGAGGTCTGGGACATTGAGGGTGTGGTCCAGGTAGGCACCTCGGATGTTTTCCTTGACTTAGAAGATGACACCGACGATCGTGACGCCGCGATCCTCGAGGAAACCTTCCAAACCCGCATGACGCTCGCCGCCCCTGCCCCGCCACCGCCCGAACCCCAGCCCGAACCAGTCGACGTGGGGGGCGTGGAGGCGGGGGTGATGTCTGGGAGGCCGTGGCTGTTTCAAGGGCACTCGGTGGTGACATGCGACGGGGAAGGTCCTGATCACCCGTGTTTTTTTGCAAGTTCTGCGGGGCTTCGCTGGCCCAGCGAGTGGTGCTTGGGAAGGGAGGCATCGCGGGGGCCTGCTTGGGCCCGAGGCACCCTGGGCTTCATACCCAGAGGTCCCGTCTCCGTCGGTACCTCCACCCCTCGGCCCTCCATCCTCCTCCGCGGCTTTCTGCTTTTAGAGGCCCCGGGGACGAGGATATCGGATGGCTCCAGGGGAAGCCGGGGGGGGGGGCCTGTTGCAGGTGTTGGGTCCTCGGTGGGAGTTTGGCTTTCGCTGGGGCCCGCTGGCGGGCCCTCTGGGGGATCCGTGGCCAGCCGTTCTCAGGCCCCCGTCAGCTTCCACCAGCACGGGGTCTCGGTCCCCGTACTGGACCTAGGGCGAGTTGCTCGCCTGCATGGGCTTGCCTCGCCCGATTCGGCGGTAGAATGGGCGCAGGAGCGCAGGCGAGCTAAGCGCGAGGCCGATGCCACAGAGGCCTGGCCACTCGAGGGCGACTAACCCCGTTCCAGCCGCTGAGGCGGCAGGCGGACTTCGTCCGCCCGACCCCACCTCCCTCCTCTTCCCTTCGCCTCCTAGTCCTCCTCCCTTCGTACCCCCTCCCCCCTCTCCTCCTGCTCCCTCTCCCCCATCCGTCCAGGAGGCCCAGAAGTTCCAGCACTTCATGGCGCAGCTGGCCCTCGGCAAGGAGCAGGCGGGGGCCTTCACCCGCGACCTGGGGGACATGTGGGCGGCCATCCGCCAGCTGCAGTCCGCGCTGGGCCCCTCGGCCGTCGGCGCCAGCGGCGGCTCCCTCGCCGAGCGCCAGGCGCGCCTGGAGAGGGAGCTCGCGGCCAGGTGCGAGCGTATGCTGGAGCGCGCGGCGGAGGTGGTTGCTGCTGCTGCTGCTGCTGCTGATAATGTTGTTGATGATGATGATGATGACGACGATGATGATGCTGATGATGATGATGATGATACTGCTGATGATGATGATGATGATGATGATGATGATGATGATGATGATGATGATGATGATGATGATGATGCTGCTGATGATGATGATGATGATGATGTTGATGATGTGTGATGATGATGATGATGGTGATGATGGTGATCGTGATGATGATGGTGAGATTGTGATGATGGTGGTGATGATGATGCTGCTGATGGTGACGGTGATGGTGATGGTTGTGATGGTGGTGATGATGATGATGATGATGGTGATGATGATGATGATGATGATGATGATGATGATGATGATGATGATGATGATGATTATGATGATGATGAGCACGACAATGCTGATGCTGTTTTTTGATAGCGCCGATGATGATGCTTAGTAGTAATGTGATGTGGAGGCGATGCTGCTGCTGCTGATGATGATGATCCTGATCATGACCATGACAATGCTAATGATGATGCTGCTGCTGATGATGGATGTGTGATGATGATGGCCAGTGGATGCTGGCGGGTGGTTCAGAACGGTGATGGCCATGATGATGGGCATGACTGCGATGATGACCGTGCGGGTGGTGGTCGTGATCCTGCCGGGCCCTGGCGGCGGAGGTGGAGAGGGCCGCCGCCGCCTCCGAGGCGAGGCTCCAGGGCGCGCTCGGGGACCTCCGGCGGAGCGTGGACGGCCTGCGGGCGGCCTCCTGCGGACCGCAGGCTCGGGCGCGAGAGAGCCACGCGCGCACATTTCTCGAGCCCGCGTCGGTCTCGAGGGAAGGCCTCGCTCGAGCGTCCTCGCGTCGCGAGGCTGGCCCCGCGGACCTGGGGGGGGCCGTGCTCGCGCACACCTTCTCGAGCCTACGTCGGTCTCGAGGGAAGGCCTCGCTCGAGCGTCCTCGCGGCGCGAGGCTGGCCCCGCGGACCTGGGGGAGGGCCGTGCTCGCGCGCTCGCTCGCGCGCGCGTGGGTCGGGCGCGCCTGCGCCCTCTGTGTGGGCCCTCTGCAGGCGGAGCACGGGCCGCTCGCGGAGCTCGTCCGGCAGAGCGTGGGCGAGCGCCAGGGCGCGCTGGCGGAGCTCCGGCGGAGCGTGGACGGCCTGCGGGCGGCCTCCTGCGGACCGCAGGCTCGGGAGCGGGAGAAACGCGCACACCTCACGAGTCCACGTCGGTTTCGAGGGAATGCCTTGCTCGAGCGTTGACGGAAGCCCGTGGGACCCAAGGCGCAAAAGGGTGGGAAGGGGCAGGCTTGGGGGTTCCTAAGTTAGGGCACGTCCCTCCACGGGAGGAAGACCCAGGAAGGGACAAGAAGAGTAGTCGGGGGACGAATCTTTCTGGGCGTTTGGTTCACGTGTGTTTTTCATTGTTCGTCCAAGATCGGCCCGTAGGAGGACGTGCCCGACCTAAGCATAGGGGGGAACGCCCCAATCGCCCATTGATCGCCCATAGGGGCCCCATACTGCGGTTAGCGGCCGTGAGATGCGGTCCCAATTTGTTTTGAGATGCTTGAAACAAAGAATGAGCGTGTTCTACCGCTGCTGGCGGGAAACCGGGGGGGGTCACTGGGGGTTCCCAACCCGTTCCCCCCCCCCTCGAAAACGGGGGGGGGGTCACTACCGGTTCGAACACCTCCCCCCCCCGCCCAGTCCATCATGAAAAGGGGGGGGGGGTCTCACTACCGTTTCGAACCCCTCCCCCCCTCGAAAACCGGGGGGGGGGTCACTACCGGTTCGAACCCCACCCCTCTCGCCGCCGGCAAACGATTCCCGCTCCTCGGGAGAGTTGGACAATGGTGGGGATGCTGACAGTGGTGGGAACGGTGGTGGTGGGGACAGTGGTGCGGGGACAGTGGGACAGAGGTGCGGACAGTGGTGGGGACGGTGGTGGTGGGGAAGTGGTAAGGGGACGGCGGGACAGTGGTGGGGACGGTGGGACAGTGGTGGTGACGGTAGTGGTGGGGACAGTGGTCAAGGCGGTGGTGGAGACAGTGGGGAAAGTGGTGGGGACAGTGAGGACAGTGGGACAGTGGTGGGGACAGTGGGGACGGTGGGACAGCACAGTGGGACAGCGGCGGGGACAGTGGGACAGTGGTGGGAACAGTGGGACAGCTCAGTGGGACAGCGGCGGGGACAGTGGGACAGTGGGGACAGTGGGACAGTGGTTGGGGCCGTGGGGAAAGTGGGGAGAGTGGGACCGTGGTGGGAACAGTGGTGGGGAGAGTGAGGCTAGTGCGACACTGGTGAGGGCACTGGTGGGGACAGCGGGGACAATGGTGGGAACAGTGGGAACAGTGAAACAGTGGTGGGGACAGTGGTGGAGACAGTGGAAGTGTGTGGACATGGGTGTGGACAGTGGTGTGGGGACAATGGCGTGGGGAGTGGGGACAGTGGGAATGTGGTGGAAACAGTGGGACAGTGAAGTATACAGTGGTGGTGGGGACAGTGGTGAGGGCGGTGCCGAGGACGGCGGTGGGACAATGGGACAGAGATACAGCGGAGACATTGGCGGGGACAGTGGGGACAGTGGTGGGAACAGTGAAACAGCTCAGTGGGACAGCGGCGGGGACAGTGGGACAGTGGGGACAGTGGGACAGTGGTTGGGGCCGTGGGAAAGTGGGGAGAGTGGGACCGTGGTGGGAACAGTGGTGGGGAGAGTGAGGCTAGTGAGACAGTGGTGGGGTCACTGGTGGGGACAGAAGGGACGGTGGTGGGAACAGCGGGGACAGTGGTGGTGAGGACAGTGGTGCTGGGGACAGCAGTGGGGGATATGGTGCGGACGGTGGTAGGGACCTGGGAGTCGTTTGCTGGCGGCGAGCGTGGGGCAGGGGGGGTTCGAACCGGTAGTGACCCCTCCCGATTTTCTGGAGGGGGGGGGGTTTGAACCGGTAGTGACCCCCGCGCGGTTTTCTAGTTTCTGGAGGGGGGGGGAGGGGTTTGAACCGGTAGTGACCCCCCTCTGGTTTTCTGAGGTGGAGGGGGGAACCGGTAGTGACCCCCCCTCCGGTTTTCCAGAGGGGGGGGGGTCGAGCCGGTAGTGACCCTCCCCCGGTTTTCCAGAGGGGGGGGGGTTAGGGGAGGGGGGGGAGTGCCGGGGGGAAGAGGGAGGGGGAGGGGGGGTCCAGCAGGGGGGGGGATTTTCGGAGGGGGGGGAACCCCGGGTTCAGAGGAAAAGAGGGGGGGGAATTTTCCACAGTAAAGCAGCGGTGGATCACGCTCTACTCTCAAACATAGATATGTTTAGATACGGTGGGGCGCGCATCTAAAATGCATGTCTATTTTGCCGTCGTTGCAGCCATGTAGATACCGTAGCACCCCGCAATTGCGGATAAGAGTGAGGGGGCGGGCGCGGGCGACGCGGGCGTCGAGCTGGCGGACCTCGCGGCCCTCACCTTCCCTGTCGATGGCGCCCTCCTCCTCCTCCTCCTCCTCCTCCTCCTCCTCCTCCTCCTCCTCCTCCTCCTCCTCTTCCTCCTCCTCGTTCTCCACATTACCCTTACGTCCTCTCTCTTTCCGCGTCCTCCTCGTCCCCTGTTTACTCCTCTGCCTCGCCTTTCTTTCTCAAGATACCGGATAACGGCAAACCAATCCTTTGTTCCACTGAATGCTCTCCGACTTTTCCAGGCAACTCGCCAGGGTAAAGTTGCTGGATGGGTTGGTGTGGACGAGCGGAGCTTGAAGAGGTCTTGGGGGGCTCACACGGCGTGCAAAATCCAGGTAGGGTTCGTGGACGCCCCCCGCAGGAGGGTCCTTGAGCGCCCCGAGGCCCCTTAATTGTGGGCGCCTTGATGCAGCTTCCCCTGAACCCAGGCTTTGGGCACGGATGCCGAGTTGCAACAGGCAGCTGGATTGTCAATGAACGTGTTCAGACACAGCCCCGCCGCAGGCGCCGATGTGCTGTTGTAGAGTCAGCGTGGGCTGGATCGGGGGAGTGGCGCGAGGGCGTTTTCCCAAACCAATGCGAGCAAACCCGCCGCAGGCGCCGATTTGCGTGCTCTGACAAGTTCAGCGCGGGGGGGATCGCTGGTGGGCCACCCGGAACGAATGCAAAAACAACCCGCCGCAGGCGCCGAAGTTTTGGTTTGTTCAGTGAACGTAGTTTGGGTCGCGGGTGGGTAGCGGGCTCTCCACCTGCACCTGGAAGAAATTCAAAACCAGCCCACCGCAGGCGCCGAACATTTTGATTTGTACACTGAACGCGGTTTGGGTCGCATGTTCTGAATTTGGAGCGAATGCAAAAGTACCCTGCCGCAGGCGCCGAAGTTTTGGCTTGTTCAGTGAACGTAGTTTGGGACGCGGGTGGGTCGCGGGCTCTCCACCTGCACCTGGAAGGAATTCAAAAACAGCCCGCCGCAGGCGCCGAACAGTTCGATTTGTACACTGAACGCGGTTTGGGTCGCAGGTTCCCAATTTGGAGCAAATGCGCAAGAAACTTGCCGCAGGCGCCGAAGTTTTGGCTTGATCAGTCAACGTAGTTTGGGTCGCGGGTGGGTCGCGGGCTTTCCACCTGCACTTGGAAAAGGAATTCAAAAACAGCCCGCCGCAGGCGCCGAACATTCCGATTTGTACACTGAGCGCTGTTTGGGTCGCGTGTGGGTCGCAGGTTCTCCACTTGGAACGAATGCGAAAAACCCGCCGCAGGCACCAAAAACTTTGGGTGGGTCGCGGGTGGGGTCGCGGGTCGGTCGCGGGTGGGTCGCGGTGGGTCGCAGGTGGGTCGCGGGCGCGGTTTGGGTCGCGGGCGGGTCGCAGGTTCTCCACCTGGAACGACTGCAAACGAAACCCGCCGCAGGCGCCGAAAATTTTGGGTGGTTCGCGGGGTGTTTCGCAGGTGGGTCGCGGGTGGGTCGCGGTGGGTCGCGGATGTGTCGCGGGTGGGTCGCGGGTGGGTCGCGCGTGGGTCACGGGTGGGTCGCCGGTGGGTCGCGGGTGGGTCGCCAGGGGGGTCTCGGGGTGGGTCGCGGGCGGGTCGCGGGGTGGGTCGCGGGTGGGTCGCGGGTGTTTCGCGGGTGGGTCGCGGGGTGGGTCGTGGGTGGGTCGCGGGGTGGGTCGCAGGTGGGTCGCGGGTGGGTCGCTGGGTGGGTCGCGGGCGGGTCGCGGGGCGGGTCGCGGGTGGGACGACGACAACAACAAACAACAAAC